CAGGAGATTGTCTTGACCATGTCTACATGCCTAAATGCACTGAGTTGCCACCATGTGATTGGCTGATTAGAAATTAAGTGTTAACGAGCAGTTGGACAGGTGTCCCTAATATAGTGGCCGGTGAGTGTATAATAGCAGCTGCATTCTGGCACGATAAGCTCTATGTTTTATATTCAATAAACGTATGATCCGATTAATCGACTAATCGAATAAATAATCTGTGATTAATCGGCTAAAAAATAATCGTTTGTGGCAGCTCTAATCAACAGTCTCAAAAACTATTCCCATGGACCATCCAGACTCTGAACACCAGCCAGACACCATATAAAGTGCAATAACTACTTTATTATTGGTTTTGTCTTGCCTTAAACCAGACCACAACACTGACTTACTGTATGTATGTATGTATTAAAAGTATAACCCTATTATTCTCCAACAGGGCCCATGTATCGCCTGGAAAAGCAGATGGAGCCAAATGTTGCAGTTGACCTGGACTCGACACTAGAAAACCAGAACACTCTGGAGTTTTGTTTGGTCAGAGAAAACAGTGAGTAATCCTAGTCGGACAGTTTTTACCTGGGAGCAGTTAACTTATCACAGCTATTCTGGTCACTGACTGTGCCATGCAACTTCTGGAGATGTTTTTTGACAGAGTAACTTGAATATAGGCGAGGAGGAATAAACAGGGATCCTAAAAGGAAAATCAGTCTAGTTGTAAGATTAGACATTATTTGATAAACATTTTTCAAATATAAAAAAACGACTAAAAATATTATAGGGTGCTTAGTTTTTAATAAATTCAAAAAATGCATTGTCACATGGATGGCGCCATATTATTACATCATGCCGTTGGCATACGTTTGGCTCTAAAGTCCACATATTTCAGCCAATCTGCATCCAATTCACTATGCTCGATTCTAATCCACCCTACTACAGGAAGGCAGTATGATTTTGGGGGAGTGTGGCCTAATTACTCCACCCCTTCAAATATTTTAAAAATTAGCCCCATGCTTGGACTGGAATCATGAAATTTGATGCACATGTGTAACATCAAGGACCTAAAAAATAAATGTCTCTTGGAGTACAATCCCCACAGGAAATGGGGATTGGACCATGTATTTGAGCTAACTCTCCCTACAGCTTTGAACATGCAGACTCCACATGCTGCTTCTCTCAGCACTGACTGGGTGTGGGCGTGGCAGAGTGCTGACTGAAGCCTTGCCGTTTGCACAGTTAGCTCTAAATCACACATAAATGTTCCAATCTGAACCAAATTTCTGGTGCATCATACGGGAGACCTGCTCAACACGTTTGTGTAGTAGTTTGACCAGATTACTTTAGGCCCCCCTCCCCAATCTGTACGTCTGTTCACCTTCTGACATTATTTAAATAATGAAGACCTGCGATGATTCCAACAACAGTATTGTATTTATAGTTGAAGTATATGTTCATCAAATCAAATTGTGTTTGATGTGATTCTGCCTCCAGGCTCCAGAGGAGAAGAGAGCTCAGAGGAAGATCCGCCCATCGACATTACATCAGTCCAAGACATGTTGAGCAGCCATCACTACAAGTCCTTTAAGATCAGCATGATCCACAAACTGCGTTTCACCACAGATGTCCAGCTTGGTAGGTTCTGCTTATCAGTCTGTGGCCAATGCTTTCAGAAATTGAATATATGTTGTTTACAGTAACTAATGACTCAGATTCACTTAATCTTTGGTAGGGGTGTAAGAAAATATCGATACACTGAAATATCGCGATATTTCATTTCCCGATACTGTATCGATATTCTAAAGCCCTGTATCGATTTTTTATTAAGGTTTAAAACATCAACTTTCCTGCCAGCTGTTCATTTTTATGTTGTAGTTCAGCCTCTGACCACTAGTTGACAGCAGTGAGCCAGCCATTTGGCTACTCTACCTCTTGAGGTAGAGGCTATTGTTAAGTGTTGGGTGACCATATTGTAAATTAATATTAAAAACTAAAAGCTGCAAAAATATATTTTCAAACTATTTATTGGCAAATTTAGTCTAATAATTGAAAACATGGATGAAATATGAAACAAATAAAATAAAATACAAAGCAGAACACAGCTAAATGTATCAAAAGTATGTCTATGTATTAGAATTTTCTGAGACAATGAATTTTGTTTTTTTATTTTTTACCCCCAGTAAGAGGTTTTTATTTAATAGAATTTTTGGACAAAAGAAATCGCAATATATTGCCTTGCTTACAGTATCGCAATATATCGGGATATATCGTATCGTGACCCCTCTGTCATGATATGTATCGTATCGCCAAATTCTTGCCAATACACAGCCCTAGTCTTTGGTCTAATGGTGCGTTCACACCGAACGCGATTTCAGCGTCAGGAGCAGCAGGTTTACATACAAAGTCTATGGTGGACGCGCTTCAAGCAACGTCGGGAAGTTCTGCGGCGCCTCAAGCACGATTAGAGCAGCGCGATTTGAACGATCTGAGCGTTCGACGCGCTGAGGCGCAAATCGCTGAAGTTAGAAAATCTGAACTTTTGCAGCTCGACGCGCAGCGACAACCAATCAGAGAGACTCCACTGTGTGATGTAGTGACATATTTCCCGACGGGACAGTTTACTGAATGATGTCCACTAACCTGAAACAGACAGAGCTCCTGCTCTTTAGCTGAAATGAGTGCTGCAGTCGTGTCCTGATCTGCAGCAATGCGTGGCAGCGACTCATCAGACTGAAAAAATAGTCCTCAAAGCGAGCTGTGAGCCTCTACTCTGAATTATCTGGTGAATTAATTATGAATTAATTATCTGATGAACGTGACATGCTCTGGCTCTCTGTAAATAAAGCAAAGCCACTTCCTCGTCCGACATTAAACAGCCCCACAGAGGAGGGAGGGGCGGGGAGGCTGTCGCCGTGCAGCGCAGCTGTCCTGCGTCTGACCTCAAAGTGCACAAGCTTCAAACTTCAGCGTTGGCTGCGATTTTGACGCTGAAATCGCGTTCGGTGTGAACGCACCATAAGTGCCAAATGAAGCACCTCTTTGTGTCCTCACTTTAGGAACTTGGGGCATTTGTTACAAATGGGTGATCATAAAAGTGACAATTGGCTCACTTGAAACTTTTTTAAGAACATTAAATCTTATTTAAAAAAAACCCAGACCTAGAGAATATTGCTTGTTTGGAAACAATAGAGTCCACTGTGCTTTTAGTCTTGCTCATTCTCCAGGTTGTCCTCCTCCAGATCTGCTGTGTGACTGTCCTTACTTCTGTGTGAGGCCACAGCTTGGTTTCCACTGTCACCACCAATCATCTCTTTTGTACCATGCCTTTCATAAATATGCATGTCTTTGATTATAAATCTGAAATCTTGAGAGGAAAGATCTTTTTGAGGATCACAAGCAGAACTAGAACACTTTGTTGTGACAGAAGGTCTGAATACGTTCATAAATGGACCACTTTAGTTTGCTATGATTTGTACACCAATAAACAAAACATATGAGTTCAGGGTTAAAAAGTATCGTTTGATATTTTTTATGGGATAAATCTTGTGCCAGCAGAATTAGAATTGCTCAGATTAAATTGAAATGTGCATAATTTGAAACTGAATTTAATGGTTTGAAACTGAATTTAAAGTTTTTTTTATCTGAATTAATTTGCTTTGAAACTGTATTTTGGTTTATAAAAAAATCAGTTTGACTACTTTCACTTTCAGTTCCATACTTCAGATGTTTGTGTCACATCCTGGTCCTTGAGAAAGCCAGCCAGAGTAATCAAACACAGATCCACAGATTTATGTTTCACTTTGGTGAAGTTTCCCTTCTGTAATGTAACAGAGTTGATGCAATCCACTGTAAAAGTGACAAAAACAGACAGTTATTTTTTGCAGTGATTAATTTGACTTATATGTAGAAAATGTTACATTTACATCACATCATGGATCACATATTGATCAGATGCTGCTGCTGACTGATCCATGATGTGATGTAAATGTAACATTTATTATAGGTGAAACATGAATCTGTGGATCTGTGTTTGATTACTCTGGCTGGCTTTCTCAAGGACCAGGATGTGTGACACAAAAAATTGAATTATGGAACTGAAAGTGAAAGTAGTCAAACTGAATTTTTAATAAACCGAAATACAGTTTCAAAGCAAACAAATTAATTCAGATACAAAAATTTAAATTCTGTTTCAAATCATTAAATTTAGTTTCAATTTAGTGAAATTCATTTTCAAACCAATGCATTCAGTTTCAAATTATGCACATACGGATTCAACCTGAGCAATTCAAATTCAGTTCCTACTGGCACAAGATTTATCCCATAATTTTTTKTGTTTATTTTTCTTATCTTTGTATGTAGACTGGTGTGTGTGTGTAGACTGTTTTAGTTTGATTAAAAAAACAACCTTAAAAGGGTCTAAATTTCACATTCTCGCAGTATGAAGCCAACCTGTGTGATGTGGTTTCGATTTCTCTGGAGCACAGCTACCCAAGTTGTGATATCTATTTAAACACATTAAATTGACACAAAACATTTCTTTCAGGTGTTTCAGGAGAGAAACTGGAAATCGATCCTGTTACCAATCAAAAGGCCAGCACTAAGTTCTGGATTCGACAGAAGCCCATCTCTATTGACTCAGACCACCTCTGTGCCTGTGACCTCGTAGAGGAGAGAAGTCCCAGTAAGTGACCCACTTCCCACAGCTTAACGTGAGCCCCTGAGAAGACTGAATCTCACGCAGAGTCTTCACACACGCAGACACACAGCAGAGAAAGTTTATGTTTAACTCTAGGCTAAATAAGATCCAGTGCAACAAATTTTCACAACATGCAGCTTACCAAGTTAAGAATATTTACAATTTTGTATCCGTGTGTGGTTATTTCTTTTCGTTCCTCTGTTTCAAAATAAAACAAGAAAAAATTAATATTTGGGTGTTTTATTAGTCCTTTTTTGTTTTAAAACTAAATGAGGAAAAACAGCAATTGCACAAATAAAGAAAAGGATTTTATTTAGTGTTTTTATTTTTATTTTAATGGTTAAAGCAAAGATGATTTGGGACCTTCTGGCGGAACTAGAAATCATGTCCTGAACTCCTGGAGCATTGTATTTTTCACTTCTCACTATCTCTAAATAAGACAAACATAACTATATGTTTGTCCTATTTAGAACTGATGATCTTACTGTGAAGAAACTTGTTTTAATACTCCAAATGAAACAGAGTAGAGTTTGAGTGCAGCCACTGCTAACGTCTTTAGGAACGGTATCTTCCAGCCACTCTTTGGAGACTTCTGTCATTTCCAGTATCTCTATATTTTAAACCAACAACTGTATATTTTATTTTGGATTTAAATAGCTGAAGCACAAATCAAACACTGTTTTTGTTTGTTAGATTGTATACTTTTACACTTAAGTTTTAAAAATGGTAAAACACACAAAAAGGGTATTATGTTTTAGGAGATTTTATTTTGAAATGGATAAACCAAAGAATGAACCGTACACAGATTATTTTTGCATCCTGTGGAAATCAAATGTGTTTTTAATTATTTATTATGGAGTTAATTGTAGGAGAATTAATGCATTTAAAGTTTACTTTTTAAATCATGCTACAGCGTTAAAATCTGTGCAAACAAAAAAGGGTTAATCATCTGTGATTATTTTTTTCTCCTGACATTAAACCCATTTCTCTGTTGTCTAACAGGTCATGCAATATTCAAGCTCACCTATCTCAGCAACCATGACTATAAGCCTCTTTACTTTGAGTCTGATGCTGCTACTGTCAATGAAATTGTTCTGAAGGTGAGTTTCATTCAAAATGTGATATAACTTTTCATTTTGTTTCATGACAAACCTGTGACATCAAATTTTGGTAATTCATATGAATGTGTTTTTGGAAAGCTGACATTAGAAATATTTTGTAAAAAAAACATGCTGAGTTGAACATTGGTTGAGATATTTGCATGTGAAGTAACAGGAAGTGATGACAAAGGGAAATGTCTAAATGTGAACAGAGCTTCACTACAACTGCTAACACCCCAGACTGTGGAGAAGAATCTGATGTTTCTTTAGATTATAAGTTGTCACTATCAGAGAGATGAAGAAGAGTCAGTCAAATAATATTCCTTCAATAAATAAAGACCAGGGAGTTCTCTTTCTTAAAGAGTTCCCCTCGGATATTTTTTTGTTTAGTTTAATTTAATTCATTTATTCAAACAAAACATTTCACACAATAAACAACAATAGGTAAGATATAAGATGTTCATAGCTTTTAATCTTTTTTAACTGAACCTTACTTCAAAGTGTCCAGTGACTATCAGAGGTCAAGCTGAATACATCCGGTGAACATGTTAACCATGTCACGAATGAAGCGCTTTGTTTGTTTACAGGTGAACTACATCCTGGAGTCCCGGGCCAGCACCTCTCGGGCGGATTACTTCGCCCAAAAGCAAAAAAAACTGAACCGCCGGACTAGCTTCAGTTTCCAGAAGGAGAAGAAGACGGGCCAGTAGACAGGATCTGCTGGTATCCCTCTGCTAATGGTCTGTCTGTGCACTGGTGCACAGGTGCACAGGTGCACAGGTGAGGCCTTTGAGCCTGGCACACAGAGCATCAGCCTGGAACCTCCGACTCCTTGAAACGGAGACGAGAGCAGCTGACAGAAAACAAGAGCACGCTTTTCTGTTTGAGCTCATCTGGGTTGAAGCCTCAGAAACTATAAAGGAAGATATTCCTTGAATAAATAAGAACTAATTAGTTTTTTGTTTGTTTGTTTCGAACTTCAAAGACTTTAAATGAAAGATGGACATCTTTTGGCTGTATGTTGCAGTCATTGTTTTTGTTTATTCACTGCCTCTGTATTTAAGCGCTGTCCTTCAGGATGGATTTGTACATCTTCATGGAGCTGGCCCTTTTAGTCCAACAAACAAATCAAAGTTTCTTGCAAAAAAATCTGCTTTTTTTAACAGATTTAAATGTTCATGTTTTTAATGTATTGTACATAAACATTTTATATTCAGAAAATGAAATGAAATTGTGAAACTATATTAGTCCAGTCTGGATTTTTTTTAATACCTTTATCTTCCTTCAACAAATATCAAATCTAACACTAAAACGTGAGACAAGATGGAGATTGTGACAAGATCGCTTTGCAAGATGATTAATGTTAGACTGATGTATACTGTATATCAAGGGCAAACCCTCACTTCAGCAACAATTATTTACATTCTCCCAAATGTTTAGGAGAAACTCAGTCCATTTTCACATGTATGACACTTTAAAATCTGTGCAGAATCACAATATAAAAAAGTAGTTTCTTCCTGTGGCTTGATTGTAAGCGAAGGGCACAAAAATAATCTGCAAGTACTGTAAATCAAGCTGAACCTAATATGAAGCTTTAGCAGTCAACCTGCCAAATGTATGTTAAAACTAGGAGTGTAAATCCCTAGCTTTATCACAGTACAGTATTACTTGATGTTTCCCTAAATCACAGTGGCTGTCATGAAACAATGATTCAATTCACAAGTGTGCCATCAATATGAGATAGATAAACTTTAATGTATACAGTATATCGATCCACATCGGTCCTATGATGATGGTATGGATTAACGATTTTGTTTTGCCTTGATGTGTTGGATCAAGCTACAAGTAACTAAGAAATGGAATAATTAGAGAGTGCACTGATCATTTGTTCAGCCAATTTATCGACACAAATAAAGATTGGAAATCAGCCGATACTTTGATAAGATCAGTGGAAGCATCTCATGTACATTACCTGTCTCCTCAAATGTCTAAAAATCAGCCACTGTCTCCTTCAGCTCTGCTGTGAGCACTAATATCCAGTTAAAACAACTTTGTTTTGTTTCAAAGATATTGTTCAATGTTTTTCTATAAAATAAGATTGAAATATTGAAGATGTTTCTTGACCTTATAACACTTGATGGTGTCAGCTAGTTGAAAAAAATCAGAATCGGCAGGTCAGACTGTTTAAAGATCAACGATAGGTCAGAAAACTGCAAACAGTGAAATAATGTTTTATCTTGGCTGATATTAGGGGTGTAACGGTACAGAAAATTCCTGATTCGATTCAATTGGATACTTTAGTGTCACGGTTCGATATTTTTTCGATACAAAAGAACAGATTTCCATTTACTTCTTAACTTGTAATTTATTTAAATTAATTATGAACATTTGTTTAACCACAAAAGTACATTTTTTAATTAAATGTTGTCGAAACAGCAACTTTCTCAGTGGATCTGATCTCAATGCAGCCTAGGTAGTGTAGTCGAACACAGATCCTCTGATCCTTCAACACAGAGCATCTTCAGTCAGAAGACAAGCTGAGATAAGTTTTAAAAATCTGTATTGTTCCATACAGAGGTGTATTGAACCTAGAGCACTGTAATGAATGTTTCGATACAGACACATGCATTGTTGTACCCCTAACTAACCCTTAGCAAAAAGTAGTATACTTGAAGTTCATTTTAATAAGGATATTTGAGTAAAAGTTTAAGTATATCAAGTATATTAGGCACCATGTACTTGTAGTGTACTAGAAAGTATATTGATATAATTGGGACATTTTAAGTTCACAAAAAGTATACTGTTATGTCTTTTGAAGTTTATACACTTAGTTTATTTTATAAACTTTTAGTTTATTACACTTTAAATTTATACACGTTTACACACTAAGTTTATGCACTTATGAAAAAGAAGTGTATATTTTAAGTACATGTCATTAACTATACTGAAGTATATAAAAGTATATTTCCCTAAGTGTATTTTTATTCACCATGTAAACTGATATAAGTGTACTAGCAGTTTACTAAAATATATAATTCTAGGACTAATTTGGCCCACAAAGTTTATGAAAGTATACTCAGAAGTATACTGAAAGTAATCTAAGTATAGTTTTAGTTTAATCTTGAAATATACTACAAATGAACCAGTCTGTGTGAAAACTGTACTACTAAAGTTTATCTTGGTCAAAACTTTAAACAATAGTATAAACTAAGTATACTTAAACTTTTAGTATACTTTTAGTACGTAGTTTGGCGGCACGACGGATCAGTGGTTAGCGCCAACGCCCCACAGCAAGAAGGTCCTGGGTTCGATCCCCGGTTCGGACCTGAGGTCTTTCTGTGCGGAGTTTGCATGTTCTCCTCGTGCTTGTGTGGGTTTTCTCCGGGTAACCTCTGGTCCCCCACCAAAAAAATTTACAATAGGTTGCCTTCAGGCCCAGGTCTCCCTTGAAAAAGAGATCTGAGATCTCTACGGGACTTGCCTGGTAAAATAACAGTAAATAAATAAATAATAAATATATAAATAGTACTGTACAAGCCAAGTATTATGTAACATAAACTTGGTTAAGTATGTCTCAGCCCTACATAAAAAGTAAACTGGAAGTATACTTTTTTATTTTAAGTTTAAAATTAGCATACTTAATGAATACTTGCATATACTACTTTTTGGTAAAGGAATATGTATGTACAGCGGGTAAAATATGTATTGGACACGTCAACATTTTTCTCAGTAAATATATTACTAGAGGTGCTAATGAAATGAAATTTTCACCAGATGT